TTAAAATTTAATACATTCCACTTACGTCACCTATATAATACTGGCTGAAGCAGTAACATTTCAATATGACTATTTCCATAATGGATCCTCAATAAAAGAAGGAAAGGATAGAATGGCGATCAAGACAGTTTCTGCCTTTTTGGAACTTATATGGTACTTGGATGGATAATAAATAATTTATAATACAATTTTGATAGTAGTAAATATGAAAAATAATAACACAGGATAAGGGGACAGAGATGTGATATTTTAGATACAGTAGTCTTCTCTGAGGGAGCTGACCTTTGGGTACAGAACTGAATCAGGTGAAGGAGTGAAGTAACATGAAGATCAGAGGGAAGAATATTCCTAAGGTATAAAATATTAAATATGAAGGCCCCGAGGTTAGGAATGAGCTTGAGTGATTCATACAATTAGGCCAGCATGGCTAGAGTAGACTGTAGAAGGGAGAGGGGAGGAAAAGTTAAGGCCAACAAGTTAGCCAGGGCCCAAATCACATAGACTGTGAAAACCATTATAGGGAATTTTAATTAATTCTGAATGTGAAGGGAAGCCATTAGAGAGTTCTAAGCAGAGGGGTAAAATTATCCAATTTATGTTATAAGTTTGTTCTGGCTCCTGGACAGAGAATGGGACCGTAGGGGAACAAGAGTAAAAACAAGGAGAACTGTTATAAAGCTATTGCCTAGGCTTTAAGTGTTTTTCTGTAACTGTTAGAGGACTGAAAATCATCCTGGGTAAATTATATTATCTAATAACAGGCAAACGTCTTAATATCTTTTCCTAGGTAGAGGAGGATAATCAATAAATTATGAAGTTGCCTAGTTACAAACTCCGCTGTAAAGCCAAGGAAGGGTAAGCATGGGGGAATAAAACATTCACCTACAAGACTCCACCAAGTGCAAGAAAGCCAGCATCCCAAAGGAGAAGAAGCATGGCAGGAGAGCTGAGACCCCCTTCACTTTGTACTGAAGGCATAAGCACTCTGAGGCACTCTAGGCTCTCATTTACAAAAGACTGGAGTATTATTAGGAGAGTTGAGAAAAATCTCTTCAAGGCACTCTCAAAAGACCCAAAAGTTCCAAAAAGACAGAAACTCTCAAAGGTTGAGAAACAGCTGAAAGAGATATTCTGAGGCTCAGAAATGAAAGAGCAGGACTTAAGAGCGTAGAGAACTCCTCATAGATTAAAAACTAAGCAACCAGATAGTAAATCAGAGAAAGGTCTTCTAACAGTTTCAAGGGCTGGAGACTTGGTTGGGAAGCATAGGCAGATCTCTGGAATCTGGCCAGCACTAAGATTCCATGCCCCTACACTTGGTTCAGTTTATGGAAAAAAAAAAAAAAAGATTCCATGCCCTGCGGAAGAAAGAGACTTATTACACCTTCAAAGCCTTGGAAGCCAGTGCTATACTGAATCAGACTAAAGCTTCAGTAAAGTCTGGACACAGCTTAAGAACTGTGACCTGACAAAAGAAATAGTCTCGAGAGGTTTTCTAATACAAAATGTCTAGAATTCAATAAACAAACCACATACACAGGAGGAAATGTGACCCACATTAAAGAGAGAAACAATCAATGGTGGCAGACCCAGAGATGGCTTAGATTAGATGTTGGGGTTGTCAGAAAGAGACTTTAGGTTAACTATGATAAAATGCTAAATTATCTTATAGAAAAGGTGGGCTTCACATGTGAAGAAATGGAGGAGTTTCAGTTGGGCCGTGAGATATTTTTTAAGTCAAATAGATAATGGTGGAGACAAAGATATAAGAAAACTAAAAACCAGTATCCTTTATGAATACAGATGGAACAATCCTTAACAAAATACTACCAAACCAAATCCAACAGCACATTAAAAGAATTATACACCATGACCAAGTGGAATTTATCCCAGGAAGGTAAGGGTGGTTCTCAACATATAAAAATCAATCTATGTATTATAATACGCCACATTAGTAGAAAGAATGAAGGAAAAAAACTCAACTGAAGAGCATAGAGAACTCCCCTCATAGACTAAAAATCAAGCAACCAGGTAGTAAATCAGAGAAAGGTCTTCTAACAGTTTCAAGGGTTGGAGACCCTTGAAAATCTGTTGACACAGAAAAACATTTGACAAAATTCAACAGCCTTTCATGATTTTAAAAAAATATGCAGCAAACTAGGGATAGAAGGGAATTTAATGATCAAGGGCATTCATAAGAAACCCACAGCTAACATATTTAGTGATAAAAGAATGAAAGCTTTTCCCCCATGATCAGGAATAAAATAAGGATGCCTGCCTTTCACCATTGCTTTTCAACATTATGCTGAAAGTCCTAGCCAGAACAGTAAGGCAATAAAAAGAAAAATAAAAGGCATTATAATTGGAAAGAAAGGTAAAACTATCTGTATTCACAGATGACATGATTCTATACATAGAAAATCCCAAATAATCTGCAAGATAGCTACTAGTGCTAATAAACAAGTTCAGCAAAGTTTCAGGATAGAAAATCAACACAAATCAGTTGTGTTTCTGTATACCAGCAATGAACAATCTGAAGAGGAAGTTAAAAAGTAATTCCATTGGGATGAAATGGCTAAAAAATAATTAAAAAAGTAATTCCACATATAATAGCATCAAAAAGATTATAGGAGTAAATCTAACCAAGGAGGTGTAAGACTTGTGTGCTAAAAGCTACAAAACATTGCTGGAAGAAGTTAAAGATAATCTAAATAAATGGAAAGACATCCTGTGTTCATGAATAGGAAGACTTAGCATTGTTAAGATGTCAGTACTCCTGAAAGTGATCTATAGATTCAATATAATACCTATCAAAATTCTAACAGCCTTTTTTGTGGAAATGGAAAAGGAAATCCTCAAATTCACATGGGATTGCATAGGACCTTGAATAGCCAAAACAGTCCTTAAAAAAGAAAAACAAAGTTGGATAATTCATACTTCCCAGTTTGCTACAGTAATTAAAACAGTATGGTCCTGGCATAAAGACGGACCAGTGGAATAAAATAGCTAGCCTAGAGATGAACCCTCACATGTAAGGTCAAATGATTTTCAACAAGGGTACCAAGACCATTCAATAGAGAAAGGCTAGTCTTCTCAGTAAAAGGTACTAGGAAAACTGGATATCCACATGCAAAAGAATGAAATTGGACTCTTACCTTATACCGGACATGAAAATTAACTAAAAATGGATCAAAGACCTAAATTTAAGAGCTAAAACGGCCGGGCGCGGTGGCTCACGCCTGTAATCCTAGCACTCTGGAAGGCCGAGGCGGGTGGATTGTTTGAGCTCAGGAGTTCGAAACCAGCCTGAGCAAGAGCGAGACCCCGTCTCTACTAAAGATAGAAAGAAATTAATTGGACAACTAAAAATACATAGAAAAAATTAGCCGGGCATGGTGGCACATGCCTGTAGTCCCAGCTACTCGGGAGGCTGAGGCAGAAGGATCACTTGAGCCCAGGACTTTGAGGTTGCTGTGAGCTAGGCTGACGCCACGGCGCTCTACCCCGGGCAACACAGTGAGACTCTGTCTCAAAAAAAAAAAAAAAAGTATAAAACTCTTAGAAGACAACATGGAGGAAAATTGTCTTGATATATTTAACAAAGATTTTACCCATGTGACACCAAAACCACAGGCAACAAAGGAAAAAACAGATAAATTGGACTTCATCAAAATTAACTTTCGTGTATCAAAGAACACTACCAAAGAACATGAAAAGACAACCTACAGAATGGGAGAAAATATTTGTAAATCGTATATCTGAGAAGGGATTAGTATTCAGGGTATATAAAGAACTCCTTCAATTCAGCAGAACACACATGTACACACTCTCACTTCCAAAGTTGAATTTGTTTGTTTGTTTAAGCAGGCACTTGGTTGGAGTGGAAACTTGGAAAACCTGTCTCCCCTATGGTTTGTGGCAGCTCAAAATCTCATTTCAGTTATTTTAGTCTTAGTTGGGGGTGCTTGGAGTCTGTGCTGTTTGAGCATGGTTCAGAGGTCAGCCAAAGGTTTGGGCAGAGTTTATATGTATAGTTTGGAGCTCCCCTTCTCTAACTGTCTTCTTTCTGGAATTTCTTCCCTCTTTCCTTCCGGAAGCTGTGGTTGTCTCAGACTCTGTACTCAGTTCTCCAGAGCCCTGAATTCGGACTATAGGTTTTTTTATGGAATTTTCAGCTACTGTGTAAGGCATGGACTGTGGCTTTCCCTCAGGTTAAAAACCACAAAACAGGAAACACGGCTTGTGTTATTTCTTTCTTAGATGTGTCAGTTTATCAATATCTGCTTATTTGTGATTGCTCGCTGTGCTTTTAAGTCATTCTTTATATTTGCTCCAGTTTATAGTTGTTACCTGCGTGAAGATGGGTCAGATAGGTACTACTCAGCCATTCTCATTCTCCCTAAGTGCCGTTTGTTTACTTCTTCAGGCTCTGTTTCTTTTAATTGCCTCCTTTCTTGTGGTGGCTATTTTTGCCTCCAACAGCTCCTGTTTTTCCCCCATGTCAGTCCCATATAAGTGAAGGGTAGGTACCAAGAAAAGGCAAGTAGTGCGGGCTTGTTAAGCAAGTTGAAATTCTAAGTTTGTGACGTATAGAATAGAGTTTTTCAGATTCTTTCTACTAAAACAAAGTACCTCTGATTTTAACAGCCTGTTACAGGACCTTCCCACACCCAAGTCTTTATGTCTACTCTGAATGGTTAATATTGCCTAGGGTGCAGTACAGAACACAAAAGAAATGCTGATTCTGTAGAGTCAGAAGGCCTTGCAAATTTTTGTTGATCCAGATATTTATCAAAAAAATTTACAAAACCAAAACCCTGCATCCTTTGTGTAACATATCCCAGTGTTCTATTTTACTTGATTTTTTTTGGTCATTTTTGAAATAACATTTTATGTAACAATGGTACATGATACAGATATGATAAACTTACTATTGTAAGTTTATTGTAAAATGCATGGATAATGAATTGTGCTTTTTTGTGTTTGTTCTTCCTAATTAGCTCCTGGGCTACAGTGAAAAGCCGATAAATCTACAGATGTTTATTGGAACAGCAGATGATCGGTATTTACGACCTCATGCATTTTACCAGGTGCATCGAATCACTGGGAAGACAGTTGCTACTGCAAGCCAAGAGATAATAATTGCCAGCACAAAAGTACTGGAAATTCCACTTCTTCCTGAAAACAATATGTCAGCCAGGTATCTTGAAACATACCCTAAAATGGCCAGTTCTTTTTTCCCCCTGAAACACCTTTCAGAAAAAATGTATTTTTTAAGTATAAATACAAATATGCATTGTTCTAAGTTAACTAAAAGACATTATATAAATAAATTTACATTTGTTAAGAGTGGCAGCTTATTTCCAGAAAGAAAATTCAATTCAACAAATGTTTATGGACCATACACAAGCGTTATCCTAGGTGATAGGGATAAAAATACTTTATATGAACATCAAATAGCTTACAGTGTAATAGGGTAGACAATAAATAAACAATTGCAGTGTAATTATGATTGTTAAGTTTCCTTAAGGAAAACTTTTTTTTTTCTTTTGAGACAGAGTCTCACTCTGTTGCCTGAGCTAGAGTGCAGTGGCATCATCATGTCTTACTGCAACCCCAAACTCCTGGGCTCAAGGGGTCTTCCTGTCACAGCCTTCCAAGTAACTGGGACTACAGGCACATGCCACCATGCCCAGCTAATTTTTCTAATTTTTATAGAGCTAGGGTCTTGCTATGTTGCTCAGGCTGGTCTTGAACTCCTGGCCTCAAAGTGATCCTCCCGCCTTGGCCTCCCAGAGTGCTAGGATTATAGCTGTGAGCCACTGCACCTGACCTACTTAAGGAAAACTTTTGACTTTCCCTCCAGGCATCCCATTTGACCCATTTCCAAATAAAATGAGGTGGCCAACTTCTGAATGAGAATGTAATAGAATTTTGTTCAAGTGGATTAGTTAGGATTCTGGTTGCCTGTAACAAAAACCTAAAATGCAGTGGCTTAAGCAATTAGAGGTTTAGTTTTTTATCACATAAGAGAAATTTACAGATAGAAGTTGTAGGGCTAGCACAGTGGCTTCGTAAGATATTGGGACCTCAAGCAAGCTTTTTCTTCTCTGCCATCTTTAGCATGTTGTTTCCATCCTCCAGATTGCCTAGTAATCAAAAATGCTTTCTGGATCTCTAGCCATCACAATCAGAAGGAATAATTTCCAGAAGGGATTATTCTTCCAGAAGAAATAAGAAGGAGAAATGGGTGGGAAGAAGGCTAAAAGGGAACTTCAATTTGAGTTAGGCCTCTTAAAAGAGCTTTTCCGTAAAACCCATCCCAAAACTCTTCTACATCTCATTGATAATCCTTATATGAAAAGCAAACTTGAGGCCAGGCTAGAATATACCCTCTTAATGGCAGGAGGAGAAGCATGTCAGTACAAGAATGGGGAAGAATTATTGACAGCCATCTTTGCAGACAATCTACCATACTTAACTATTGTACTTTTATCATACAAAAATATTTTTAATCCCTAAATTGAAATAGCAGAGAGTAACAATCATACATATCTTTCTTTTTTGACATGATTTTGGATAGATAGTTCTTTCCCAACAAATTAACAATATTTATGTAGTTGAGTTGTTTAGAATCATGATTATTAATAAGCAAATTAAATTTTTGTATATTTCTCTTTAGTATTGACTGTGCAGGTATTCTGAAACTCCGCAATTCGGATATAGAACTTCGAAAAGGAGAAACTGATATTGGCAGAAAGAATACTAGAGTACGACTTGTGTTTCGTGTACACATCCCACAGCCCAGTGGAAAAGTCCTTTCTCTACAGATAGCTTCTATACCTGTGGAGTGCTGTAAGTGAGCTTGTGATGATGTTTAAAGATTTTGCTTATATTAGTTTATTTTCTGTTTTGTTTATAATTTAATGTGTGCATCAGAAGTGTAAACTGAAGCATAGAGTCTGGGTTGCTGGTTTGATTTTCTCATATGGAAATAAGCTAGCATGTTTAGGTGGGAAGAGTACTGATCTTGGAATTTTAAAATGGCTTCTCACAGTAGTTTGACCCTAGGTAGCTATGTGACTGTAGACAAACTCTATTGACCACAGTTTTCTTATCTTTATGTTGTTTTTTTCTTCCCAGCCTGACTTGGTATAGCATCACATGAAAGAGAGAAGACCCTTATCTTTATTTATTTTTTTTTT